GGTCGGGGGGTTCTCTCGGGCCCCCCCGCCCCTGGCGCGTTTCCCCGGCGGCAGCCCGGGCCGGCCTCGGCCGAAGTCCAGCCCGGCTCAGGGCCCAGCGCCGCGGGCACAGGCTGCTTTCCGGGCTTTGATCTGCTCCGACTCCGCCCCGGCGCCCCTCTGCACAGGCCTCCTCGGGCCACCGAGAGCCCCCGCAGCTGCCGCCTTTCTGGGAGCCCCGGGCCACCTCTCCCGTCGATGTCGAGTGGGGGTGGCCGGGACAAGGAGGGCCCGATGCACCTCCACCGACACGGTGACCTCCCTGCCCCGGTTCTCCCTGGGGACATTGGTGGTTGGCCTGTCATCAGGGGCAAGGGCAGGAATGAACCTGGCCCCCGGCTCTCACAGGCCAGTGAGGGAGGAAAACCAACGAAGAGACCAGAGACCCACACCGGGGAGGAGGGAGAGGGTCTGAAAAGCAATGAACTTCAGGGCCGGCAGGTGGCGGCTGGCTGCAGCCGGAGCCCCGGACCTGGTGGCTTTCTCCCTCTCTGGTCTAACTAAATAAGTAGATAAATAAAGCTAAATTTTTAAAAATTCTTAAACAAACAAAAAGGCAAAGCAATGGACTTCAGACACCCAGAGCCAGCGCCTTTCGTTCAGATGACACTTCAGAGGGCAGGCCCGGGGGCAGGGTGGCCGACGGGACCCCTGCTCTGGCACACCTGAGTCCAGCTCAGTACAAGGAGGCCTAGGCTTGTCCTGGGAAAGAGGTTATCCACTGACTAGAGCCTCCCTTGTCGCAAACGTAACTTGACTAACAGAGCTTGGAAGATAAGGTAAACATTGCGGGCCAGCTGGTAGCCTGGTGGTTAAGGTGTTGGATCCCACAGGGCTGACTGCAGTTCGAGTCCTAACCTAGAGGCTTGGAGATCATGCCAGTGTGCACACGCATGCCCCAAATCCTGACAGGTGGGGATTGCGGCATGGCCAGTCCCCCACCCCGGGGGATGATTTCTCACTTTCTCTGGTGAGCATATGAACCGTATAGCAAAAATTTTTTAAAGTATGACATTTATTCATATATTTATTGTATTTTGATAGACATCATGCATAGAGGCAACACACAGAGAATACCTGAGACTGGGTGATTTATTAATAGAGGTTTATTTGCCTCATGATCCTGGTAGCCGCGTAGACTCAGTATGACAACACCACTGCCAGAAGCAGGCAGGGCAGCGGCCACATGCAGGGAGGGAGGCCAGACTTTCCCACTTATGCTGTTTGCCCCTCCCATGCTCCTGGTGACTGGACAGTGTCCCTCCATTAGGCTCCCCCTGTAAAAGGGCTCACCACCTCCCGAAGCCGTTACACCGTGGACCAAGCTTCCAGAACATTAAGCTGTGGAGCACAAACTGCTGTAAACCATAGCGGAAGTGTTTTCCAGGAAGGCACTGCTGGACCCTGTGTCTTTCTTACGCATAGCAAACTCACAGTTGTGTGTTTTGGACTTATTAACCCCTGTGTAACATAGGGTCTCTTAACCTTATCTTCAATATTGAGCAAGAATTTTTTTCTGGCCGTGATGGAAAGGGTTGTTCTGGCATTGTAGAACCTCACACTGTCTGTGTAACCTGTGTGTGCTGGGAATGCTTAAAATTTCCTAGCTTTAAGCTTCCTTGCAGTCAACCCACACGTAAGGGTTTTAGGGACTCCCCTCATCCCCATGGGTACTCTGAAAGGCAGTGAGTGAGTGTGTGTGTGTGTGTGTGAGAGAGAGAGAGAGGAAGCTCAGAAACCGGTAGGCTTCCACACTGAGGCTCAGGAGCGTGGGGACATGTGGAGGTTTAAGTTCTCACGTGGTTTTCCTTTCTTGAAATCCGATTTTTCACTAACCCTGTTTCCATGAAGACAGAGGAAGAGTAGAGACTGAGCCCAGATAGTAACACACACACATGAAGCACTTCTCGACATTTCAATTCCTTAATTTTTAGAGATTAAGTTTTAAACATCTGAAATACTGCGTAACTGGGCTACGTATGACTTTACAGTACACGGCACCGCCTCCGCCGTCTGCCACTACTCCTGCTGGGAGTACCCAGGACCCTCCCTTTGGCTACCTCGAGGTCCGCAGCAACTCAGGTTACACATCCGGGGCCTCCTTGTTCCCACTGTCTTAGAACGCCAGACACTGCTCTCCCCACTACCTGCACTTCCATTTCCTTTAATCAGCATCCTTCTAGAATGAACACTTCGGGCTAGCCCCATGGCCTAGTGATTAAGGGAGCCAAATCCCACAAGGCTGACTGCGGTTTAAATCCTGGCCCCGATAGTTTGAAAAAACCCACTGGGCCTGTGTGTGTGTGTGTGTGTGTGTGTGTGTGCGCGCGTATGCGTGTGTCCGTCCCAGAGCCCAGTAGATAAAGGACTGCAGCATAACCATGCCCCATTGGGGAGTGCCTTCTCCCTCTCTCTCTACTGAGGGCATGTGCCTACTGGCAGTTAAAGCAAGGATTCAAAAGTTTAAAACTAGGGACCAGCAGGTGGCATGGTGCTTAACCTCTGGACTCCCATGTGGCCGACTGTCTAGTCCCGGACCTGATGGCTTGAAAATCACACCAGCTGCTTGTCCTGTGTGCTCAAAATCCCAGTAGAATGGAGACGGGATTGCGGCATGGTCATTGGGGGGAGCGATGATTTCTCACCTTCCCCCTCTCTCTGCCTCTCTCTGGTGAGCACATGTGCCCTATGGCAAAAACCTAAAGAATTAAAAATGAAATAAAATGAAAACTTCTCTGAAACAATCTCACTCGGCCAGTTGGATCTGGATTTCTTCGAGGACACTGGCCCTCGTTGCAGAGTGCTTCATCCTCGGCCTCGTGTTTGGTGGAGACCTGGAAGAGACGTTTCTGCCCTTCCGTGTGTCATTCCTCAAATGCTCATCCAGGGTTGACCCCACACTGCACGTGGTGCTGAAAGGCACGTGTGCAGTGGGGAAAGCAGCCACAGTAGTCGTCCCGGGAACAAAGAGCCTTAAAACGCAGCCTTGCTTTCTGTGTAGCATTCCCTTGCTGTCTCCAGTGCGGTCTGAGCACTGGGAAGAGAGTTATTCCACTTGACGTCGTCGCGTGTACATACGTAGGTATACGCTCTGCATGCTGGTGCTGCTCTGACCATATCTTTGAAGAAAGGAGTGGAGACAGAGAGGAAGAGGTCGACAGCTGACTCACAGGGCAGTTGGAGACCCAGAATCTTGTATATCATATGAACTGAGTACATACATACTTCCTGCACGTATGTTGGATGTTCTAGGGCTCAGTGGTCTTTGAGGACGTGGCTGTGGACTTCACCCTGGAGGAGTGGGCTTTGCTGGACCATACTCAGAGGGACCTCTACAGAGATGTGATGCTAGAGACCTTCCAGAACCTGGCCTCAGTAGGTAAGGGCGGCACCATCCCTTCACCTAGTTATCTGGAGAACCAGGGTTTCTTGGATATCAAGACTTGGAAGGTAGAAAGGGAATACACTGAAATAACACAGACATAGTCACACTATCGCAGAATTGTAATCGAATAGTTATTTTTCCCATAGGAGTCTATGTATTAAACTGAAATTTTCTTGATGTAAAGAAAGCTCCATTGGTGTCGTTATTGTGGATATAGGTTGCATCGGGCCAGAGGTTTGGTTTTGCAACCCAGTGAAAATTTTCTTTGGCTTATTAAATTGCTCACCACTCTGACCCCTTGTGCCTAAGGAAGTCTTCAAACAGCTAAACTACTCAGTGTCTTCTGGCTAACAGGTCCTTCCTTTCTTTCCTTTCCTTTCTTTCCTTTTCTTCTCTTCTCTTTCTTTCTCTCTCTCTCTCTCTCAAGAGGTTTTTGCTATAGGCTGCATACTCTCGCCAGAAAGAGAGACAAAGAGACAGAAAGTGAGAAATCACCTCCCAGGGGGATGGCCATGCCACATGCAATCACTTCTCCATTCTCCTCTCGGGATCTTGGGCACACACGCACACGTGCCTGGCATGAATTTAAGCCACCAGGTCTGGGACTCGAACTACAGTCGACTACATGGGAGTCCAGCAACAACTGCATACTCTCATCAGAAAGAGAGACAAAGAGACAGAAAGTGAGAAATCACCTCCCAGGGGGATGGCCATGCCACATGCAATCACTTCACCATTCTCCTCTCGGGATCTTGGGCACACACGCACACGTGCCTGGCATGAATTTAAGCCACCAGGTCTGGGACTCGAACTACAGTCGACTACATGGGAGTCCAGCAACACAGCCATTACGCCAACTGCTGGTCCCAGTACCTTCTTTCTTAACAGGTTTGTTCATTTTTTGGTTTCAGATGATGAAATTCAATTTAAGACCAATGATTTGGTTCCTCAGCAGGATATTTATGGAGAAAAAATACTCAAGGAACCTCAAATAGCAAAGTTGTCCAGAAATCATTCCTGGGCCTCTGTTTTAAGAAAAATATGGGAAGACCTTAGCCTTGAAGATCAGCACACAAACCATGGGCAGAATCTGAGGTGAGTTGCATTCACAAGAGAAAGCAATAGTCCAGGAGAAAATCTTAATACATCCTGAACTATAAAAAGCAAGCAAACAGAAAACTCATCTAAGCCTAGTTTTGTGTAGTCACAGAATTTTCACCAAAAAAATTTATGCAAACATAACTTACAGAGTGTCAGAAACATAACTCAGTTGGAAACAATTATCAAGACATCCCATACATAAGGAACAATCTTGTTTTTGGTTTTGTTTTAGATTTTTTGCCATAGGGTGCATGTGCTGACTGGAAAGAGACAGAAAGGGGAAAAGTGAGATATCCCCCGCACACACACACGGGAGCGGAAGAGGCATACTCCAGTCCTTTCTCCTCGGGGTTTTGGGCACACATGCGCACACATCTGGCATGTCTTTCAGGCCAGTGGGTCCAGGACTTTAACTACAGAATTGGCCATTAGGGATCCAGCACCTTAACTGTCATGCTGTCTGCTGGCCCCTCACTTATTTATTTTTGAAGTTTCTCTCTTTCATAAGAGAAAGAGAAAGCAGGGTCTCATGCTATAGCCCTCCCCCAAACTTCCTAGCTAGCCAGGATCATGGGCACACACACACAGGGAACCTGGGAACCAGACCTGATACTCAATACAGCTTCCAACACTGTGGAGTGTGGTACTGCTGCTGCATCACCATGGCTAGTCCAGAAACTTAATAATAGCAATGCCCTGGCAAGGTCTGCAGTGCAGTGGCTAAGTACTGTGCAGAGGGAGCCAGCTCCCACGTGGTGGACTGCAGTTCAAATCCCAACCCTGGCAGCCTGAAAAACAACAGCCCCAAGTGCTGATGGGATGGAGAAATGGAGGGAAAAAGGAATTATGATGTGACAAGGGCCCTTTGGGAAAGTGTGTGCTCTTTCTCTCTCTGGCATAAAAAAATCATAATGGCAATGGTCAAACCCTTGGCCAGAGCCTCCAGTTTATTCCACTTTTAAACAGTTTACATAGAGAATCGACCCTTTCACTGAAAATGATTTAAATGCAATCCTAGTACTTATAAGTGTTAATAAACTATTATTAATCAAGCCATTAATAACTTGCTCCTCACTTTTAATAGAGGTCACATGGTGGAAAGACTCTGTGAAATTAACAGTCAGTGCAGAGAGGCCTTCAGCCAGATCCGAAATCCTAATCCACACCAGAAAATCCCTGCTGGAGTCCCACAATATGAACACGACACATATAGAAAAGTCTCCACACCCCGTTTATCCCTCAAGAGTCGCATTACAGTTCACACAGCACCCAAACTGCACCAGTGCCAGGAATGTGAGCAGGTCTACAGTTGCTGTTCACACCTACGGATGCACATGAGAACCCACAATGGAGAGAGACCCTACACGTGTAAATTATGTGGGAAAACCTTCCCCCGCACTTCTTCCCTCCATCGCCATGTAAGGATTCACACTGCAGAGAAGAGCTATGACTGTGAGCAGTGTGGGAAAGCCTTCATTGATTTTCCCAGCCTTACTAGTCATGGAAGAAGCCACACTGGAGAGAAACCATATAGGTGTCTGGAGTGTGGGAAAGCCTTCAGTTATTCCTCCACTTTCCGAAGACACGTGATCACACACACTGGGGAGAAGCCCTATAAATGCACAGAGTGCGGGGAAGCCTTCAGTTATTCCTCCACTTTTCGCAGACACATGATCTTGCACACTGGAGACAAGCCACATCAGTGTAAGGAGTGTGGGGAAGCCTTCAGCTATTCTTCAGCTTTTCGCAGGCACGTGATCTCGCACACTGGAGAGAAGCCATATGACTGTAAGCAGTGTGGGAAAGCCTTCATCTACCTCCAGTCCTTCCAAAGACATGAGAGGATTCATACTGGAGAGAAACCCTATGAGTGCAAAGAGTGTGGGAAAACCTTCATTTACCCCCAGTCCTTCCGAAGACATGAAAGGATGCATGGCGGAGAGAAACCTTACAAGTGCACCCAGTGTGGAAAAGCGTTCAGTCACCCCTCATCCTTCCGGGGCCACGTGAGAGTACACACTGGGGAGAAACCCTACGGGTGCAAGCAATGTGGGAAAACTTTTAATTGGCCAATATCCTTACGGAAACACATGAGAACACACACACGAGAGAAACCCTACGAATGTATGCAATGTGGAAAGGCCTTCGGCTTGTCTGCTCGCTTCCGGGAACATGTGAGCATGTGCCCAGAAGACAAGTCCTATAAGTGCAAGCAGTGCGGGAAAACGTTCTACTGCCACGTTCCCTTACAGAGACACATGCGGAGGCACACTGCAGAGAGACTCTACACGTGCAAGCAGTGCGGGAAAGCGTTCTACTGCCACGTTCCCTTACAGGAACACATGCGGAGGCACACTGCAGAGCAACTCTACACGTGCAAGCAGTGCGGGAAAACGTTCTACTGCCACGTTCCCTTACAGGAACACATGCGGAGGCACACTGCAGAGCAACTCTACACGTGCAAGCAGTGCGGGAAAACGTTCTACTGCCACGTTCCCTTACAGGAACACATGCGGAGGCACACTGCAGAGAAACTCTAC